ACATAGACAGCTGAGCTGCGTCTGCTCCCTGACCCTTTGGGGCTATGTAGGCTGTCTTGCTGCGTTTCTCGTCCTGCCTTCCCAAGCAGGCCTTGTTTCCGTGTGGGTTTTGCTTGATATCTCTGCAGCTCCTGTTTTCTTCCCGAGTTCTATATGTCAGGCCCTTCCCCAAACACAAAGCTGTAGAGTGTCTGCTCTTTGCAGCATGCAGAGCCAGTGTGATATTTTCTTCCGTGGAGACTCTTGCATATTTTAAAGCTGCTTTGCTGCTCCCGTGCTAAGCAGGAGGTTTGTGCTGATCTGATGCTTGCACTTTTGAGAATCACAAGCGTGTTGCCTGGTTGCATGTCTGACTGTAAATGGATAGAATATGTTGGTATAGGTATAGGATTTTACCCGTGGGGTAAAATTTCCATCTGTGATTTGGAGATATCTCCTAGTCAATATAATCTTAGAGGAGAGGGTACTTATAGAATACCTCTCTCTTCAGGTTTGTGCAGCACGTGCGTTTTGTCTAATAGGTTTTTAAAACATGACGCATTGAAGACAGTATGGTGGAGAAACAGGAGAGCCTTGCATTAGGAAGTGATTTGTACCTCTGGAAATGCAAGCCCTGGATGAGTTTAGAATAGTGTCAAATCGCTGTCCGCATTTTTCATTCAGAAAAGGGTAAATGTTATTATTCAGAAAAGCACACGTTGTGTTTTCCTGAGGAGGTGTTCTCATTCGATAACAGGCCCTGTGTCGGGACATGGTGGGAGCTCTGTGTCCTTCCTTCGTTCCCGGCCTCTCGATGTGTAGCCTGATTTCTTGCCTGCAGATCACCTGTGTTTGGGAGGAGATCTCCTTTCCCTGCCTCCTTTTTCTCTCCTCAGTTTCATCCTAGGTGCTGCAGCTCTGGTTTTGTTTGGTTGCAAGTGGAGTCAGTGATTCTTGTAGTAGTTGAGGACTGCTTCTCACCCTCTTACAAGTGCTTCTCCAGAGAAATAGATTATCTGCTGGGTTGTACTGGTTATTTCTTTCTTTCAATATTTTGAGTATAGGCTCTTCTGTTTTGTTTTTGTTTTTTTAAGTCTTGATTATCATTGGAAATTCACATAGTGGTTTTTCCACGTGGACAGTACATTCTCTCCCCGCCTGCATCCCTCCAGATACATTGATCAGTCTTGTCTTCTATTGCAAAGGTTGTGATTGAGGATGATCAAGGTTCAGTATTCAGTGCAAATGTATATTTAAACTGGGGAGTCCTCTTACATTTGTGATTCAGTCAATTTTATTGCAGCTTTTCAATTTATAACTGCTTTCCAGTGGAGCTGCAGACCTTTAGGAAGCCCGTATCCATAGACCGCTCTATAGCATGTGTGGACTTGGGTTTCTTAAACTGCCTTCTGCGATCCAAGAGTTCTTGGTTGGAAACCACTGAAATACTAATCTGAAGTGCCTTAGCAGGACTGTTTTTGTGCTCTCACTTGTTAGTGGTCTGGAAACTGGTTAGTCTTTTGTTTGGAAATGAGATTGAGACGTTCTGCTCCTCTCCAAGAACAAAAAATTTATCAGCCTTTAGGTTGCTACTGTCAGTGCAAGAAGGAGCAATTTATGGTAAATGTAAGTCACGCCGAAATAAACTGCACCTTCGCTTTTGAATAAGAGTGACCTTTGGCAGATCTGCATCAAAATAAAGAAGGTGCAATTTTAGTTATTTTCAGTTCAGTTTCCTTGGAGACAAGCCCTCCACAGGAACTCCTGTTGTCGGTTCTTGTGAAGTTTGCTGTTTTAACATAAAACCGAGAAAAATCCTCTCTCCTGCACAAAAGCCTGACATTTCACTACTATCTGTGTAACAGTTTGCCATGTTCTGTAAAGTGATGCTGAGAGGTAGTTTCAAGACTATGGGTAGATTTTGTGTATCACTTTGACTCCTGCAAAGTGCAGTCTGAATACAGATGAAACTTTGTTGGAAGATGAGGAATCATGGCATAAATTTATTCCTTTGGTGACCTAGTCCTGTTTTTATGTAGAGGAACATCAAGGTGCTGGAATTCCTCTCCGCTTCCCTGCGATGACCTTTGTCTGGTTTACGACCCTTGGGTGGCTTGGCTCAGCTGTTGTAAAATACAGCAGTCCAAAGGCTGTGCTAACTTATATCAGGGTCAGATCCAGGGCAAATTGAAGTTTTGGGAGAAGGCTGATAGGCTGATTCCCTGAGGTAAACCCTTTACTGAATGATGTGTAGCTTGGTACAAGATTGAGTCTACCTTTTTTTTTTTTTTCTTCCTGCACTGGCTTTTTGGGTAAAAGACTGTCATTGGAAGGGGGCTAAAGGGATAGTTAGGTCTTTAAATTCTGTTAATCTTTAATTTAATTTTTTGCGGCATGCCATAAAACTAAGGCAGACTCTGCTACAAGAGTTGTTCAACAGTCTTGAAACTGGCTGTTGGCATCTCTTTGCCTCTTTTGTTTCTCACTTTGGAGGCAGTGGCTGTGTGTCCCGAACGGACAGCTGTGCTGTCTTTTGAAGCTGAGAAACTGCGAGTGAGGTTGTAACACTTCCAGCTCTGGGGAAGTGGAAAGGGAGAAGCTTGTGGGTGATGGTGCCGTGGTGGAAGAGGCCTGCAGAGGGGACCCTTGCAGTTATGCTTCAGTTCAGACCCCCATTTGCCTCTGCTGTGCTCCAGTTTTGGATCTCCCCATGTCTCCTGTTGCAAAGTATTTGCCCTTGGGAATGAAGACCTGTGAAATGGCATTGTATAAAGGCCCGTCAGTGGCGAAATGGGGGGATTCCAACCCGTGCTGTGCATGGGGATGGTTTTCCTGCTCCGATTTGAGTCTGAGGCAGTGAGCCTTCACAGGAGCCCCTACGCAGGCGCAGTGCCCATGCGGTTGTGGGAATGAACTGCCGTGGCAGGGAGGCGAAGGAGCTCCCCCCTCTTCCTTCCCTGCAGGGTTTGAGGGACCATGTGGCAGGTCAGGTCTACCCCAGCCCACGAAGCTCTGGGGATGTGCAGGGCTGCAGCTGGAGACAGTCCCATCCAGCAAGTCCTGAGCAGCATCCACAGACCCTCCTGATGTAAGGATGGGAACTATCACCGCACGTACCTGACGCAGCCATTTGGGCGCTTGCATGAGGGACTGACAAGCTGCCCCTGATGTAGTTAGTTATGGAGAGAGGCAGCGGCTTTGCACTGCATGCACAGGAGATAGGGGCCTGCCTGTTTGAGGTGGGAGGTTCCACCCAGGTGTGGAAGTCCCATGAGGTGCCCGAGGTCTACGTGCGTGTCCCTCATTGGAGCGCCTTATTGTGTGTTGCTTCCTGTGTTTAGGGCTCAGTATAGCTGGAGATACGTGTGGGATGTCCCCAAATCCATTGTCTTCATTTGTTCCACCAGTTGTCAGTCATTTCTTTGTGGCGTGATTGCCGTTTTGACAGCAACATTTGAGCACGAAAGCCTTTCGCTCTGTGTCGTTTTTCAGCTGGGACTTGTGTGAACTGGCACTGTTTATAAATTCAGCGGTATACAGATAACGGTATTACAGATGCAGTTGGGCCTGCCCTCTCCTCCTGCCTCCGCTTGTGATGGCACATCCTGCACGACGTAAGGAACGTCGCGAGGTAGAAGGGCAGCCTTCTGGCCGAGTACGTGCTTGCTTCGTATTGATACTTTGGGGTTCTTCTGGAGGACAGGTCTTCTGGGTTAAATGTGCTCTGCAAGGAAAGGAGCTGTTGTTTTATCAGCTGTTGGGATATTGTCAGTGTGCTTGACATCAGCAGGGGAAGAAGAAATTCCTGAAAACGGTAACAATTTGTCAGGAAAAAGCCTCTGTGTTTTCATCAAGGAATTCCCCTGAAACAGTCTTTGCCTCTGCCTGCTCACGAGGAAGTAGGTAACGGCTTGCTGAGAATGGTACTGTGAAAACCAGTGTTTATACTTCGGAAAGGGAGGGACATTTTTCCCCAAGGGCTGATTGGTTGATGCCTAGGAAGAAGAGAATTTGCTGGCTTGGAGACTGGCTCGTCTCCCTACTTTGGTAGCTGCTCTTCCTTTCAGCTCGTCCAAGATACCAGGGAAGTTTCAGCAATGTGTACGTGTGTTGATGGATTTACTTGGATTGACTAGTTCTGGTCGCTGGTTGTAGTCAGCCTCGGCAAGAGGCAAGTTACCAGAGGAAAGAGGCAGTCAGTCTAAATAAAGACAATCTAGTGTCTTTATAACTCTTAATAGTTTTGAAATATGGTTATAGATTTTAACACTCCCTCCAGAAAACAGTCTGACAGTACTCCTCTGGAAGTGTCACTCTGTTTTGAAGAAAAGATGTATTGGGTATGTGTGGATTGTGACAAAGTCAATAGGACCAAATCACTGTCCGGTTCAGTGTTCCCAAAGCTGGTTTTAAATTTGAATTTTCCTAGAGTAGCTTGCTTTTTTATCCTAAGTTTACTAACCTTCCTCCAACTTGGAAAATAGCCTAGAATTTAAATCAACTCCAGCACATAGTCCTGGAAACAATATACCTTGTTTTGAATGAGTTTGGTTTGTAGCTTAAGGAAACAATTTTCTCTTTCTCTTTGAAAAATAGGAAGAAATCATTCCAAATAGGAATGTCCCCAGTGTTGAGGCCACCAGCTTCAGCTGGTGAAAGATGGAGCTCTTCCAGTTCGCACTGGCTGAGAACTTGCCCTCCAGGCTTCCAGTGCGACTGGTTTTGTTTTCAGTGTGTATTGATACACTATATTGAAATCCTGGCACAATCTTGACAGCTTTCAGTGAATTTTCACGTGAATAGCACATTGTCTTCCATGGACCGTTTAGAACAACCGTGGAAGCATTTGCTGTTTATCCTTTGGTTATTTATAGTAATAATAATGTCTAATCCTTTGTGCTTTTCTCCCTCTCCTGCTTCCCCTCCCCCTGTGTTAAGTTAGTTTAATGTCTAAATGTTGCTTTGATTAAATTGTCTCTTATGCCTGACCGGTCTCACATTCATTATGCTTTTATTCCCAGTCCCGCAGTGTTGATAAGCAGCATGCTGTAATCAACTATGACAAGGAGAAAGATGAACACTGGGTGAAGGATCTGGGGAGCTTAAATGGCGTAAGTAGCGAACCTGGCTGATGAAGGTGTACACACAGCGTGCTGAGTCTGCAAGCGCTTGTGCACATACTTGACACTACTGTTAGACACTTTGGGGGTCACGTCAACTGTTGGTGTGAGTTGAGCTAAGCATGCGTAGTTGTTTGCACTGCCTGAGACAGAGGTCATGTGGTATCTCATTTTAGAAGAGGAAAGTTTTGGTAAAGGAATACTGTATTTTTCTGCCCCTCTTCCTTCTGATGTCCTTACTGAACCCTTCAGGGTTCACAAAATCAGAGAGCATTTTAGAAAAGAGGAGAGGAAATAAATTCAAACTCATTTTGAGGGTGTTAACGTAAAACTGCTGAAGATTCTTGAGCAGCTGTTCAGCGTGAGCAGGGTGACCTTTTGGCAAGTCATTTGTCAGAGGGTGGAGTGATTTATAGGATAGTGAGCCGTTTAATTTCTTTGGGAGAAACTATTTAATGGCACCCTTTTTTGATAATAAAATATACCAGTGGAGCTTTCCTTCTTCTGGAGCAAGGGTAAGCTAGATTCACATAACTGTTCACGCTAAGGGTTGTACTGTCATCCTTATTTTGGGCTTTAAAACAGAAGCCCGCCACCGTCCCAGCCATAGAAACAGTAGGTTAACCCGAAAACTGATGCAGAAACTGTGGGTAAAACAGACCTCAACCTTTCTGCTGTTCTGAAAACAGCAAGAGTGAGCGTTAATCCTTCTTGGCCTAAGAGCTGTAGACAGAGCACCTTCTGAAATTGTAAGTATTTCTGATAACAGGTCTCAGCTCTAGCTAGATCCCTGCTTCAAAGCCTGTGATAGAATTAACTCATGGTGGCAAAATAGCAGCTTAAAATTCTGCTTGCAGAAAGAGAAGGCTCATATCGCTGCTACTCTTTTTTTCAGAGGCCAATGAGTGCACATTTACAACATTTAGTAATAGAATTGTGCTTTGAGGGGCAGTGAATTAAAAAGGAATTACAACAGTGCCTATCTTCTAGAGCTGGTCCAACATTGGAGAAGGCTGTTGTAACCAAACTGAATGTATTCTATGTTAAAGAAACACATGCCCTTATTTGAAAATTTTCAAAAATAGGAAGTCTTTGTCTTTTAACCAGCTTCACTGCGTTTTATTCTGAAATTACAGAGTAGCTGGTGAACAGGCCTATAAATTGCCAGGAAGCTAGGGGCCGTTATCTGCTGAGGTTCTAGCTTTGCATTCTAGTATTTATTTTTCCGTGTTGTTAATACTTGGCCTTTTTGTGTGTGTTTGAGTCGGCCTAGGTTAGAGGAGAAGGGGCAGAAAGCTGTCTCCGTGATGAAAGTATATTAACTCATTTTCTAACATAATTTTGGTTCTTCAAAGCTGTGCTGCATTGTACTGAGGCAACAAAAATACAGCTGAGGGCTCCCAGTCTGTGAGGCTGCGTGAATCCCATCTTGCAGGAAAGGATAAGTCCCGATGTCTGCAACTGCCCAGGGTGCAGCTGGGCACCTGGTCTCCATCAGAATCCTGACACTTCTTTGCATGAGTTCCCAATTATTATTATTTTTTTTTTTTTGGCCTGGGTTATTACAGAAGCAAGCAAGCTTATTGGTGAAAGATGTCCACAAATGCTCAATTTGTTCCTTCATTGTTCTGTAAGAATTACTCCTTACAGGAGACCTTCAGAGCAGAGGCATTTGAGACATCTGTGCTTTGTTTGCAGCTTTGGAGTGTATTTCTGGCACCTTTATAAGGGTGATTTAGTTTCTGTGGGCCTCAGTTAACTGTCTGGGACATAGGAAAAATGAGTATGTGAATCCCTTGAGCGAGGGGCCTATTGTTTGCTTTTAATTCCATACTGATATATGGTGTCTTTGAAAATGTGGCCGCAGACATCATGGTGATGCCACTGCAAATACTTATTTTCCTGTGCATTGGCACTTCCCCCTTCCTTCATGGAAGGCCTTGCTTGTTAAATTATCAGGCCTTGGAAGCTGACACCAGTCTTGTTTGGTGCATAGTGGAGCACTGATTCCCACTGCAGGTTCAACTCAGTAATTGGATTATGAGTTGCTTTAGCTTTTACCGCAATGTATGCTGTTCTTGCTGTTTGTGAAGGGAGGAGAAGAAACAGGAGCATCCGAAATTCCTAACTTCGGACACCTCATTTACTTGTTTAAATCACAGAATCGTGGACTAAATCGGGGACTAAAGTTTAGTTTGCAGTTGGTAGAAAGAGGAACCTCCCTTGAGGTCCCTTTGGAGCAGCTTGCTCGCGGTGCTGGTTGCAGGAGGGCATGGGTGCGTTCCAGGTAGTTACACAGCCCTGATCCTCTGAGATGTGTTGCCTTGATTCGCTCCATAAAAACTGTTTATTTGCTTCTTCCTTGCAGACGTTTGTGAACGATGTGAGGATTCCTGACCAGAAGTACATCACCCTAAAACTGAACGATGTCATTCGCTTCGGCTACGATATCCTTCTTGTCTGAGGATGCAGTGAAAGACAGTCTTTGTCTGGGTTTTGCGCTGTCCGGTGCATGGAGGGTTAACGGTGCTAATTGTGGGTAATGACTAAGGGTGTTTATTTTGCCTCCTGGAGTTTCTGGATGGCTCTTCAGCTTTTGTTTCTCCACCATGGACCTGATTCAGAGCACATTAATCATGATGCTTGCTGACTTTATTGTGCTTTGAATCAGGTCCTGCACTGGTGATGGTGACTCTGGAGGTACTGTTTCAGTCTCTTCCTCTCTCAGGAAGGGTTGTTTGTTTTCTTTTTTATCTGGGATCCCTGGGTGGCAACTGTAGCTGGTACCGACTTGGGAGAAAACCTGTTTTATACACTTTTGTAACATTAAAATCTTCTTCTTTTTTTCATCTGACTTTATTTTTTTTTAATCATTTCACCCAAATGCTTGCTTGCAGATGATTTGAACACACAGTTCATCATCATTAAACATCTTGCTTTGGGGCTAGCCGTCATACCCTTGGCTTTATATTGATTAAAGTCTAGCCTTGCAAATTGCTTCTGCCACAAAATGCAAGAGTAAATCTCTTGTTAGCAATAGCAAATTTCACATCTGTCAGGGGGAGGCCAGACTGCTGCTAGTGCTTTGGTTAAAAAAAAGTACAAATACTGCTAGAGTCTGCTAAAATACCTTTACCTTTGTTCCCCCCCCCCCCCCCCCTTTTTTTTTTTTTAATCCTGATGTGACTATATGCCGTAAGCATATACGTTGAAATGCCTTCCTGAGCCTGTGTATCAACAGTGGTAATTAGAGGCTCTCATTGCTGCCTTTTCTCAGCATCATCATTTTCAGACAGTTTTTTTCAGTTGTCTCTAACTGCCAAACATTACCCATTTAGAGTGAATTTAGAAATAGAGAGTGTCTGCAGGAAGTAAGTTTTACCATGGGAGGGGAGGGGGAGAATCTACTATTGCCTGGAAAACTCTTGTGCATCCTTGACCCCAAGGCCACATTCTTGTGCCTTTTGTTGTCTCCATGATAATCCGTGTGTGCTTGGCCGTGCTGTAGCCCTTGAAATATTCTAGAGCTTGCTGGAGGCGGGAGGGAGTTGAACGAGTTGGGAGAGCGAATTTGCTGAGCCTTTGTGCTCTTGCAGGGAGCCGGGTACCTTGGGTCTAAGCTGCAGTGGTGTTGGAGCACTGTTGAAAACAGGGATGCTTCTACTGATCTGTGTGTAATTCGGGGTCTGCTGGAAAAGAAGCTTTTCCAGGCCTTCACGTTTTTGGTCTTGATTTCTCCGTGTCTCTTATTCCTGTTGTATAAGTAATAGATCTTATCTTCACAGTGGTATTGATTTTTTTCTTTTTAAAAAGGAGAGGAAGTTGCTAAATTATAACAAAGCATAAAAAGGAGACTAATTATTTGTCTTTGAAGCTGGGTTTGAATAGGGTGCAGCTGATGAAGATTCAGGCATACAAGGGAAAAATACTGAGTAGCCCCTTATTGAGTACTGACCGTTAAATGCTCATAAGCTTTGTCATCTGGGGCCATGTTATTAAAGGTGATGTTTCAGTGCACATGTGTGACGAAGCATGTTAAAGTCTCATAGGCAACCTGAATTCTAGCTTTTCTTGGCTTTGCAACTTTGCAAATGTTCTTCTAACGTAGCTGGTCGTGTGTTCTCTAGTCTCTAGGTGCGTAGGGAAACTCATAGATTTGCTGTAAACTCTAGTTTAGCTAAGGCGTAAGCCAGTGCCTAGAGCTTGGGTAGATTTTAATGGCTGTGATACAGGTTTAAACTTTTTATAGAAAACAATTCTGAGCATTAAGCAGCTGAGTAAAGTGCCTAGTCCTGCAGCCCTTACATGGACATTCATGTGAAATGAATGATTGCATTTATGAATTGGAGAATTTATTGCCCTCAGCAAGAAGACTTAGCGAATGAGAGTTTTAGACTCGAATCTTTGAGATTACTATAGCAGATATAATCTCTTACTCTCCTTTGCTGCTTGGTACTGTCTTTTCAGAAGTACTTTCTGTGTCCACCTTGCCTGGCTCTGTGTGGATGGCAGCATCTCCTGTGGTCTCCGAGCCAGCTGTGCTCTATTGCATAAGAGTGTTTGTCTCTTTTCCATTACAGCTTCACTTGCAGACTGTGTGGAGTTTTCTTGCTATGCTAGTATCGCTTGGTTTATTTTTAGTTTAATATTTTCCATGTTTCTTTCTTCCCCCCTTTGCTCTGTGCAGTCCTGAGTTGTTCGTGATGACGTTGCCAGATGCTTCCCTTATTTTTTTGCGCAGCTGTCTGGACTCAAAACATACTGAATGCCTCTTTTTCAAAGAGGTCACAGCAGCTCATGGCCTGATTTACTTTTCATCCAGGAAACTGCAGTGACTGAAAGGCCTTGTCAGGGCAAGAGAG